TTCCAATGTCGTGCACGGACCCCAGCGATTCTCTTTCTGTTACCCCGATGTCAAGTCGGGGTGTCCTCATCCAAGACAGCTTTGGCCTGAGACAGCCTCGATAGGTTCTAATGTCAACTATGACCCTTGTAAGGAAAAGCAGTAGCAAAGATAGATGGATGGATCCATCACGCACCTTCCCAGTGTTCATCACACACGGTGAACAAACTGGTCTTGTTTGTGAGGGACGGCAGCAGACTGCTGCTCTCCATCACGATGGCTTGGGGGATCATGATGATGCACGACACCACCCAGATGATAATAATGCTCTTGCAAGCCCTCTTGGCAGTGCTTTTGAACATCAGCGGGTGGCAGATGGCGTACCAGCGGTCTTGCGCAATGCAGCTCAGTGTCAGGACTGACACAGAGACGGAGATTGTCTAAAAAAATAAGCAAGTAAACATCAGACAGTCACACACAAAACAATTCACAACCTCAAACTAAGACAACGTTGTGACTGTGACTAAAGATGAATTATGAAAATGTCTGGATGAATTTTATACCACTTGTTGTCATTACGTCATTGCTGAGCTCGAACCTATTCCAGATGTCTTTGGACAAGAGGTGGGACGCAGTGACGGCGACAACGGCCAGCGTCTAAAACTTTGCATCAGTTGAGGAATAAACTACTTCAGTTTATTTTGGGAGAAACTCCTAAGCATTTTGTAATCAGTGTTGTACTGACTGTGACTGGTTGTGCGGCCAGCGAAAATAGTTTGGAAGGGCGTACAGCTCCTTTCCAGTGAGCTTTTTTCATGCTTCGTTATTGACCTGAAGCCTGTGCGCTTCCCATGTGTCAGACTTTATTTGAAGCCAAATACATATTTTAAAATAAATAAATACCTGCAAATAGGGCACAACTTTGCAAAGCGTCTGTCCAAAGAACCATGTCTCCGTGATGTCGACTACTAAACTTGCAGGCAGGCAGATGATGGTCACCAAGACATCAGCGAATGAAAGGTTTACGATGAAATAGTTGGTCACGGTGCGCATGTGCCGGTTTTTCCATACTGCAAAACAAACTGAGATAGAGAAGGTGCCCAGTTATAGCATTCTCCAAGACATGATGCGTAGGTAACACATGGGTGAGTTTGTTCACCTCTCAGAGGGACGGTCAGTGACGTTACACACACATTTGGAAATTTTTTTGGAGGAAAAAAAGTTATTTCTGCAGTACATCAACTTATAATAACCAAAGGCTCCCGGATTGATATTTAACCCAATAATGTAGTGCCCTTTTATAAAATTACCTTTTTATTTTTTTTCCCATCTTTTTTTCTTGAAAACAAATCATTACATTTTATAAATGAAATGTCATTTAGTCACAAGGACAGAGAGTGTGCATTTGTGTGTGGTAAAGTACATGTACTCTGTGTCTTACATACAAGGCCTTCAATAATCATCATCATTCCGCCCACCTCCCACCCTCCAGCCCCCATGAGCTACACCTAACCACCATCCCGCCGCCACCCCCTGGTCAAAACGCTGAATGGCTAATAACTCTGTGAAACCAGTAGCCGCACTGCTTGGTGGGGAAAATAATTCAGTTGTTTATCTTCCATGACAACATCCATACATCCATTTTCAAAAACACTTCTGCTGCTCAGGGTCACGGGTGCTGGAGTTCATCTCAGCTGACTTCAAGCAAATTCGGACTGCACTCGAAGCTTGTCGCTAGTCAGTGGAGGGCACATATTGAGATGGGCAATATATGTACTGTATACATATACTGTATCTATCTATATCTATCTCTCTATATATAGAGAGAGATAGATAGAGAGAGAGAGAAAGGAAATGAGCTTGATCAACCACATTACATATTGTTCTCAGTTCTGTAGCTGCAGTTGTGACCAGCTTTAGTAGACACGGAAAGACCTTCTGAGTTACAGCATTCACCCGACTCAGGAATCAAACTCGCTGAGCGAAAGCTCTGGACACCAGTTGAGCTCAAAACCCTTTTATGAGGCAAAGGAAGTAAGCTTTTCTATCCATGCAAGCTGGCATCCATGAGACGATCTGAAATATTTTTGGTGGTAGGGAAAGGTGGGGTGGTGGGGACAGACTTTGCTTGAAGTATATGGCAATATCTTTCCCTGCAGGATGACCCTTCAACATGCGCATGAATGTTGATCAGTGACATACGTGCACCTTGATTACGTTTACGTCAACGGGAGGGCGGCA